CTCCACTTGTACAAGCCAGTACATGGGGTACATTTCAATATTCGATTAAGGTTTGACCATTCAATAGACACGGCCCGGACGAAACTAAGCTAGATTCAGACGACCAGGACACATGCACTTTACATGCAAACTACCATTACAAACTGAATAGCCTTCTTATATGGCTATTACCCTATCCGAAAAAAGGACTGAAAATTTTGCAAATGCCAGCAAGTTGATGTAGTAAATTTACAAAACCCCTTGAGGATTTTTAACTGAAAAAAGCATGTGTCATGCATCTGGGACAGATCTAAACAATGTCGACGCACAGTGGCTGAGAGCAAGGAACCGGAGCCCGGGAGCGGCACCAAACGCGGCCTAAATCTCTACAGCTATTGAGCAAAGGATCTAATTCCCTTGAAAACTAAGAACTTAATTATAAGTGCCGACCCGTGCCTCCACTCCTAATACATATACTAGGTCCACCCCTAAGGTTTCTTCACAAGCGAATATTTTTAAAGAGGACACGCTAAACATTTGCACGACATTGCATTAAGAAAGGAGAGGGACTCGATCGGGACATCTGATGAATCCCAGGTCGATACCTGTTCTTCAGTGTAACTAACTCTCTCTCTGTCCCCCGGTTGAATCAAATTCAGACCGCACGGAAACTTTGAATGAATTTGACAATAACGTAATTTCATCGTGCAAATAAACTTGAGTGACGATATGAGTATGTAGCATATATATAGATCGAGATCGCTGGCGGCCGGCAACCTAAATATTGTGACTGGCCGGCTTATTTCACAAGGTGAAGTCCTGCTGAGGTCAATTAATTGTACGTGCCGATCCAACGAATTCGGAGAAAATTCAGCGGATGGGTTAGATTTTCTTTTTTTTTTATGAAAACGGATTGGGGGTTAGATTAGCCGACGCAAACATGACAGTGCCTCGTGCCGCCCCTGGCCCTGCACACACGCGGGCGAAGCGCCAGCACACAATGCGTGCGTGCGGACGCATCCAACCTGCTGCAGCGATCACCTCGCGCATTTTATTCTTACAGCTAGCGCATTATTCTTCGACTGACTTTAATTAACCCAGTCCGTACACGAGACGCAATTAACTGAGCTAGCTAGTGCTAATTTAAATTCATTTCGACGATCCAAGTGAGACCAGACACTCAAACACTGGTGATCTCCCTGTAACTTCCTGTGATCGCCATATATAGTCCTATTATGTCATCAAATTTAATACAGACAAGCAGACATACACATCAATATATACTACATATGTATGTGTATTGATACATACGTACGTATATACTAGTAGTACAGTGTAGTTAGTTAAATACCCTAGCTATGTACTAGGTATCGTAGGTACATTATATATGATACAGTGCGTTTCAACACCCCCACAAGATAAACCGGCCCAGATTTTGGAAGTAACTTTTAAATAGTGACCCCATGTCTCTCGCCTTGGAGACACCCGCCATCTTCCATGGACTACATACGTATGTCCAAATTATAGTAATACCAATCTAATCACACACCCCAAATTAAACTATGGTTTCGTCAAGACATCAACAATTGTTAAACCCGATTAAGGCCTCTACGTGGCGGTTCTCTAGCAATCCCTGGCGTATGCCCAAACCAGGTATATCCCAGTACTTACTATTATATATATGTTTATATATATTTATGCTTGCATCTGCAGGTTGAAGACGACCGTACCCCTTCTGGTAGCTCCCTCAGCTACTAGCTGCCAATGCAATGCAAGATATGCGTACGCGAGTAGCGAGAGCAAGACACGAGAGTTGTTACGAATCACGCGACATACACACGCACTGGCCAGCCCTACGTTTCCTCGCGCTCCCAATAATCTACTGCTACTCCTCCAGCAGCGAGCGAGCATATGCCTCCCGGATGACCTGCGCTGCGCATGCATTAGATTAGTTGGGCGATGGATTATTCGGGAGATCAGATCTGCAGTGAGGTCACTCATGGTCGCGCCTGCTTCATCCAAACGTTGACGTTAATGCTATTATACACACGTACGCCCGGATCGGACGATAAGCTACGGCTCTTGGCTTCGTCCTTCTTTTGGCCGTGCATTAGTTTATTAATCGGGGTTGTTTTGTTTAGTTTTTAATTAACTGAGAGCGAAAAAGTACCGGGAATGGTTTGAAGATTCGGGCGTAGACATCGTTTTGAGTGACTTGGCGAGTCAAAGTGCTGCTAAGCTGTATTAGCTGCTGCTGTGTCCTGCCCCCTCGAGCAAAAATGGTCCTGTGGATACTATAGAGTAATGGAAGAAAGTGTAAGATAATGGAAAAGCGGCAACGACGTACGTAGCCCTATCTGACTTTTGCTGTAATTAGTTTGACACTTGGATGGATGGTGTTCCTTTTGTGGGTAACACCTGTGTGATCTATCGATGATCGATCATGTGCCATGGATAAGGACTGCCACACGCCAAATGGGCCGGGAATTTGTGAAGTAGTCACATGCCATGGATCTAGCCATCTAGGTAAAAACTAGCTTAGTTTAAATGAGTAGTACGCGCACGAGGTAGCCATCTGTCTTTAATTTACCTTCTCTACTATGCATGTATGGCGTAGTTTATCCGGTCCAATAACCTGCACCTCTCTCGGAACTTGCTAGAGCAATCATCTGCATGCTGATTAGGCATGCTGCATGACGACGGCCTAAATGTGGCGATCTCTAATCCGCATTCTTTTATGCATATGTTTAGGTGCTTGCAAATAAATTGCAACCGTACGTTCAGTGCATATATTTGGTCTCAACTTTTTTTTTCGATCCCCACCGCACCGTTCATACGATCATGTGGGCTAGAACGTTGGATGGAGGTGTACGTGTACGCCGATGAGGTGTCCCGTTAGCAGCAACAACCTTTGAAACCGCACACAACTCACCTGTTCCCTCTGCTTGCCTTCGATCATTCGTCCCATCGTCGTCGATCGCGTCGTCGTCGTCGCTGGCATCACGAACCCTAAAAAACAATACCCAGATATATGGAGCCACCTGTGGCTGTGTGTTCGCCTGTGACCTGGATTTGAGAGATGATCCTCCTGGCAACTGCCATGCCCGTAGTTATATTAGCATGCATGCATTATGGCCTCGCCTTGTCACCCCGTAGCGCGAGTGCATGGCCCGTGCACACGCCAGCCCAGGGCGCGTACTTGCTCCCGCCCATTTGTTTATGTTCATGGCTCGAAATGGCAAGAAGAATTCCATTATTCGATCCATGGGTGCGTATCTTATGTGGCATTATTGACATCTGGATCAGACGATCAGGAATAGTTGGTGGCGCGGTCAGCACACTTGTTTGGTCCTTCTCTCCCATGCTCGTTGTGCAATCGTGCTCGGTCCCGCGGCGCCAAAAGAAGCTTCACGATAGTGATGAGCTCAATCTGGAGAAAAAGAAAAGGAAAACAACAGAAGCAGCAGCATGCAGAAATGGTCGGAGGCGCCAAGAAGGCAATGCAATAATGCCGTGATCACTGAATTGTATATTCAGCCGTTTGACATATGTTTTTCAGATGTTCGTGCTCCAGTTGGTTTGCCGTCGTGCGCTGAAACCTCGAGGAACTTACACGGTGTGCTTAGCTAAGATTACAATCCAATTAGTCCATGTTCGCGGGTTTCTTTCGGTTCTCAATTAATTTGAAGGAGATCATAAGAACTCACTTTAATTTGACAGCTAATAAATGGATTATTAATTACTACAGTTTATCATCTCCATGCATGAATATATATCAGATTTTTTGCACTGTCTTGGGGAGGAATGCAAGCTACATCTCTCTTCACTGCTTCCCAGTTGTCTGGAACACTGAATCCGGTCCATTGTTGGTCCACTCGTACATGAAGAACATGTGATCTCCGTTCGTCAGTCAGCAGGCACGATTTGCCGGAATGGTTGACTACTCGGAGCAAGCATGGTCGATGTCTGAGATAACAAGCGACAGGTACCCGGCAGCGCCAGGCAGAGTTTCATATCAAGATAAACTCCCCAGTCTCAGGGAATTTTTCACCGTGCGTGCCTACACTACAGTTACATTACATACAAGAATTATCCTGAACGATTCTACGAAACGTTAACGCGCATGCCAGCGCGACTTTTTCTCCAGGAGGAAGAGAGGAAGAGCATCCGAAAGCTCAGTGGCCGTTCTTATGCCGGGGGGGCAAAAGTCAGCATGGATTGCAACAACAAACCAACCGCAAGCCATCTACTGAAACTGAAACCTTCATTCGTAGATGCCTGACTGACGTGCCGTCCTTGGAGAAAAAGCAGTGCTGATTTGGCAGATTTGGGCAGTGTCTTCTGCAGCGAGTTTCGTGCTGACCAATGACCATGCGGTTTTTTTGGTGGGCTAATCATGCTTTAGAAGCTGCCAATCTGACCAATGACCATGCGGTTTTTTTTGGTCGGCTAATCATGCTTTAGAAGCTGCCAATGACATGCATCAGGAGGTCGTTATCCTGCGATGAAGCAGCCGGGGGATGCAGTCTTTTCCGTGTCTTTTTCTTCGGTTTAAATTGGTGGCCAAACATCGTGCCTTTGCATGGTGCGCTGCTGCAGATTAGTCCAACCTTTCTCCCTGTTTTTTTTTTTTTTTGCAGGATTCAGGTGTGCCTGCGTGGGCGTCCTATGACCATGCGAGTGGAGCATCAGGGCTTCACAACAGATTCACACATATGACATATGTGAAGCCAAAAGGTTCTGGAATTTTGTGAAAAAATGGAAAACACGCAAGATTACCTTCGCTTGCATGTATTGCTTCTCAATGAAGTTGCTTAAGCAATAGTTCAGCACGTTACTACAAGGAAACAGTGTGTAAAAATTTCATTCATGTAACTCTTGTGGCAATGGAAGCCATCCGAACATGCTTGTGGTTTCTCCGCTGAATGTGAAGACCGAATACAATTTCATGGGGGTAAATAAGGTAAAATGATTCAATTTCAAAAAAAAAATACATTGTGTTGGCGTGTGAAGCTATGCAGCTAATTGTAATTTGCTGATATCATTTCGACAAGCTTGTCATGCAGCACACCATTTGTCACCAGAACACCGCCTGACGGATAGATGATTCTGCGCGATGTTAGGTCAGCTGCAAGATCCAATGGTTTTCCACTCCAATCACTGGTCTGTCAGTTTCAGAAAGTTACACAATCACCGTGGTTATAGTGCTAAGAGATATCAACTGATGGAACAGAGTTGAAGTTTGTCTGTCTTAGCAAGCAAGGTACATACCTGACCACCGGCTTCCTGTACACAGATTACCCCAACAGCATGATCCCAGGACTATGTAAACAGTATGAAAAAAAAAGGGTGATCAGTGCACTGGTTAACTAAGTCAACAAGTTGTTTAACTTGTTATGCAGGACAACAGAAATTGCGAGCAACATGGCACCTTGATCTGAGTTGTCGGCCGTGCTTGAAGGACAAAAACCAAGGCTCTCCCGGAAGCTACTGTGAGATACTTGCACAAGCTACAGAATAGCAACAAGTAGAGCACATCATCATGAACTCATGTGCAGCCGACCAATCCAGAATCACTAATCGATATAATATAGTCATTATCAACCTTAACCAGATATTTTTGTAGGAAATCCAAAAGTACTATGATAGCAAGACAGCACAAGAATAGAGAAAGACATTTAACATTTCAGATTATGCTGTAAAAATCTTACAGCAAACAAACAAGTATAGTATCCAGAGCTAACTTGAGGATGGGGAGAATATATCAATCAGTGATTTAAATGCCTTTTGCTCATCGTGAACACCATATGTTGGAGAAAATCAATCATTGCGCAAAATGCCTTGGCTTGCTAGCTAGCATCATATATCAACTGACTAGTGGCATGAACTAATGCGCAAGTATCAAACCATTAATGGAAAGTGCAACAAACCTGCCACAAAAAACGGATAGGAGAAGAATTTAATTCTCATTTCTAGGATCAGATGCATCCATTGTTGAATTGAAGGTAGCAGATAATGGTATCATATCCCATGTTTGGCTATCTGGAATGCAATAGCGTGCCATGTGTGCAATCGAACATGTGTCCACAAAGCATCTTTTCCAAATATCCTGCGCCGTACTGAACTGGCCAATATCAGCAGACAGATGCCTAGACCATGTACCACAGCCTATATGAGACACCATAAGAATACCACGGCCATTACATGCAGCAGCACTATCATCTTTCTTGTTGGCTATGTCATCGTTGGTTCAATTTGGGCATCCCATCACTCCTACTGTTACCTTTCCATTCACCACAAGCGCCAGACCCACCTTAAGAATGGACAAAAATGTATGTTATTAGAACTTTGAAGAAAAGGATCATCCAAATAGGCAACTGAGCGAGGTCAATAATATTTTTTTTTTTGCCTTTCAATTAAGAGGAATGAAGTTTATATACAAGCAAAGGTAACCAAGCGTGGTGCCAAACACCGCGAAAGGTTAGCCCACCTACTCAACGCGGTAGAGTACACACTACCATGAGTCATCGTTGCCGAGCATGGTTGCAAAGCAGCCAGCAGCTCCGACTTCCCATGGCAAAACACCGACGACCCATCCTAAGATGTCAGACCAACGGGCCCGAAGCAGGAGGCTGCAACAGGTCATCGTTGCCGAGCTCAACGGCACCGCGAAGAGCAGCTCCGACTTCCTGCCTTTGATCCCACGCCCCGCCCGCGGCGATTGCCGAGCCTCTAAAGCTGAAAACCAGCCGTCGGAGAAGGAGGGTTCGACCCGCGTCATCGTTGCCGAGCTACATCCCCTGATGCAGCAGCTCCGACTTCCTGATGCAGAACACGCCGTCTCGCGGCAACCAGGCGCCGAAGAGGCAGAGGACATCCGCCGAAGGAGACATCACGGCCGAGACGAACTTCCACAGCGACGCCTTCAGGAAGGGTACGACGCAGATAACGCCGACGTCGCTTGTCCAGGAATGGACCGGGTTTTCACCCGTGGAAGACATGGCTGGGGGCACAAGAACACGACGCCCCCAACAAGGAAAACGGCGCCCACAGGCGTCGCCGTCGCCAAGGCTTTCGCCCGAAGGTGCCCCTAGCACAAATGTCGAGCCAAGATGCCGTACCGTACCCTGTCGCCATCGTCGTCGTCACCGCCACCCCGCAGAAGCCCCTCCAGAGGGGCTACGACGCGCCGGCTGCTCACAGCAGCCGCACAGCTGCGTCGGCCACCACCCCCTCCGACCGGGCAACATGCAGAGGTGGACCTACCCTGCCACGTGCGTCACCCTGCCGCACGCCGAAGCCGTCGCCAGCTGTCGTCGCCGGCACAAGCACCCGCCGTCGATGCCGCCGACCTCCGCCAGCCACCGCCAGGCGCATGCCCCACCTCGGGCGCCGCCCCCTGCCCTGGGGGCACCGGATCTGGCCTTCAGGGCGCCAGACCCAGTGACCCCGGCCGGCGCCGCCACCTCCACGCCAAGGCCGAGGAGGAGAGGGGGAAGCGGAGTAGGAAGAAAAGGCCCCCGCCACCGCCCGGCGCCTGCACGGGCACTGGCCAGCGCCGCAGCCACAGCAGGTGGCCCCGCGCGAGCCCCACGCGGCTCGCGCGAGCGCACGCCCAGAGACCTGGCCCTTGGCGACGCAGCCGCGCCGAACCCGCGGATCCGCAGCGTCTTGGACAGGAGCCGCCGCCACCGCCGCCCAGCACCCGCCCAGGCGCGGCCCGCCGGAGATCCACGCGGATCCGGCCGTCGGACCGCCGGAACCGGACGCCGAAGTGAGGAGGCTGCCCCAGACCGGCACTGGAGACGCCGCCGCCACCACCTGCCACAGCGACCACGCCGAGCCCCAGGACGTGAGCACGTCCCAGACCGTCGCAGCTTCCACCGCGAAGAAGAGCCTCGCCGCCGCCCTCACGGCAAGCTGCACGGCCATGTCGGCGGCCTGCTCCGGCGACGGCGCGGCCGGAGAGAGGGAGGGAAGGAAGAGAGGCGGCTAGGGTTTGGGTCGCCTCCCGTGTCGCCTGCGTGGGGGCGACGCGGGGGCCGAAAGGGTCATCATCGAGGTCAATAATATGTAATTTGCTGATCCTAGATTAACCAGTCCATGCTGAATGGAAACCATATAGGGGCAAACATGCTTGGTATTCAGATGTATGAAATTTGCTACCAAAGAACAAAGTGTTGCAGATTACCATACAAAAACTCAAAAGGATAAAAGGTGCCTCATAAAAAATATGTATGAACATTCTTAGCCTCAGTTAATCGCTGATGATGTGGTATCATTATGAATGTTTTGTAGCAACAAGGGTCTTTCCGGAAATCCTCAAATCACATACATTGGCATTTTACAATCTTGTGATAAATTAATAGCAGAGAACAAAGAATGTTGATGATATCAATATAAAAAATCCCCAAGACAGTGGACATGCCTGGCCTAAATGTGGCACTAAGAAGTACAAGACACTCCATGCTTGTAGAATGACCTTTTTCAAAGTGTCAAAATACGCAGCGAATAAATACTTGTGCAATTAAAGAACATCTTGTAACAATGGCTGAATAAAGCATATCAGTCCTTGATCAACAGTAATACAGTATGTAAAGACAAGTAGTGGAACAGGGAATCATACCACATACAGAGCATCATGTTGCCCGTGGATCTTCCGCACGGGTGAGCCGATCGGTCACCGGCGTTGCCGACCACACACTATAGCTAGAGGCAGAAGAAAGGAGAGAGAATAGAGCGCGCGCACACACATCACAAGCACCAACGTTGGCCGGAGCTCTGCAGAGATGGCAAAACAGAACTCACTCCCTTTACTGAGTTGCAGTGGGAAGCTATAAATATAATTCTATCCATCTAATCCTAGTACACAGACATGCCAGGCTGCCATACTGCTACAGTGACTAAATGTGACAGCAGGGCTGACTTTGACGCCTGCCCCTTCTGTTGCTACAGTGCAGCAGCAGGGAGTCCTTTCGGTGCCTGCCGCTGCTGCGCGTTCAGACCATGGGAGAGCAGCAGATTACTTTACAATTCTTCTCCTAATTCTGTTGCTAACCCTTGAACCTCCACCATGCCGATCATCTTCTTCAGCTCCGTGAACCGAAGATGGTCGAGCGGCTTGGTGAGGATGTCCGCAAGTTGCCGACCAGTTTCGACGAACTCGATGACGATCTGCCCTCCATCGACAGTCCCTGAGGAAATGAAACTTGATGTCGATGTGCTTGCTCCGGTCGTGGAGAACCGGATTCTTCGCGAGGGCGAGGGCGGGCTGGTTGTTCACCATTAGTGTTGGTGGGTGAGCTTCCACACCGGTCAGCTCACCCAGCAGCCGGCGCAGCCACACAGCTTGGCACGCCGCTGTGGCCACCGCCTCGTACTCTGCCTCGCACGTGGACAGCGCTACCACCTTCTGTTTCAGCGACAGCCATGAGATTGGAGCCGACCCAAGGAAGACGAGCACGCCAGAGGTGCTCGCCGTCCGTCGATGTCCCCCGCCATGTCTGCATCGCTGAACACAATGAGCTGCAGCCCACTTCCGCCGGTCTTAGGGAAGACGATCCCCTGATCCACCGTCCCCTTGAAGTAGCGCAGCAGCCGCTTCACCGCGGCCTAGTGATCCTCTCGGGGATCCTCCATGAAGCGGCTAACGTAGCCCATGACGAACACAATGTCTGGCCTCGTGTGGACTAGGTAGCGCAGACCGCCGACGATGCTCCGGTAGAGTGTTGCATCTATCTTCGCAGCGTTACTGGCCTTCATCAGCTTTAGCCGCTCCTCCATCAGAGTCACGCATGGCTTGCACTCAGCCATGCCACTCCGCTCCAACAGCTTCGAAGCGTACGCGCTCTGACCGAGCGTGAGCGCCTCCTTTCCCTGTCTCACCTCGATGCCGAGGTAGTAGGAGAGCGCGCCGAGATCGCTCATTCGAAAACAAGCCGCCATCTCGCCCTTGAAGCTGTCGATGTCCTTCGCACGCGCGCCGGTGACGATCAAGTCATCCACATACACGCCGACAACGAGCTCCTCCTTCCCCCGTCGCCGCGTGTAGAGTGCGTGCTCGGTTGCGCACCGTGTGAACCCAAGCTCACCCAGTGTGGCGCCAAGCTTGGTGTTTCATGCTCGCGGGGCCTGCCGCAGCCCGTAGAGCACCTTGTGCAGTTGAAGCACCCTGTGCTCCGCTCCCTTGACGGCGAAACCCGGAGGTTGCCTGACGAAGACCGTCTCCACCAGCTCGCCGTCGAGGAAGGCCGATTTTACGTCCAGGTGATGGACGCGCCAGTCCTTCGCTGCTGCCAAAGCAAGCAGCAGTCGGATAGACTCCATGCGCGCTACCAGCGCAAATACTTCTTCGAAGTCGATGCCCTCGCGCTGGACAAAGCCTCGGGCGACGAGACGTGCCTTGTGCTTGACAATGGCGCCGCGCTCGTCCCGTTTGACCATTACACCCACTTCATGCCGATCGGACGGCATCCTGGAGGTGAATCGACGAGCTCCTAAGTCTCATTTTCCTCGATCGCCTTCATCTCCTCCAGCATCGTCCGTCACCAATTTGCATCGTGCTTGGCCAGCGCGAATGTGGGTGGTTACTCTGCACTGACGAGAAGCAGCTCTGGGTCATTGAGCAGCCGACCCGCCAGGCCTGAGGACCCTGTGCCGCCGATGATGTCGTCCAACCTGCGGAACCGCACCTCCTCACCGTCGTGGAAAGCATCCACGAACTCTGTGATATCGCTTGAAGGTGAGGCGAACTCGATCGGCGTTGATAAAGTCCCCTGTTCCGCCGGAGTGGTCGGCACAGCACCTGGAGTGCACGGCACCCCGGCTGCAGTGCTCGTCACTACTCCTGGACCGCTCGTCACCACTCCTGGAGTGGTTGGCACCACTACAGGAGTGCTCGGCACCAGTCTTGGAGTGGTCGGCACCACTGCAAGACCTCTCGGCTTCGCTACGGGAGTGTTCAGCACCCGTCCAGGAGTGGTCGGCACCACTGCGGGACCACTTGGCACCACTCCTGGAGTGCTCAGCACCCCTCCCGGAGTGCTCGGCACCGCCCCAGGAGTGCTCAGCTCTGTTGCTGAAGTGGTCGGCACCTCCTCTCCAGCGTCTCCATCACCGTGAATGACCAAGTGCTGGACGACAAAGGTGCTGATGAAGCCGCCAGCTTCCCCCGTGCCCGAACTGTCCCAGTCCTAGGCCGCCTTCTCGTCGAACACGACGTCGTGCGAGACAACCACCTTGCTTCCACGTGGGTCATAGAGCCGGTACACCTTGGTACCTTCCTCGTAGCCCAGGAGCACCATCGGTGTGCTCCTGTCCTCCAGCTTGGTAAGGACCGGCTTTGTCTTCCTAACGTGGCCGATGCAGCCAAATGTCCGGAGTAAGGACACGTTCGGCTTGTGCCCAAACCAAGCTTCGAACGGCGTCACGCCCTTTAGGGCCTTTGTGGGCGCGCGGTTGAGGATGAACACCGCCTCACCTCAGAACCTTGCTGGCATGCTCTTGGCCTTCATCATGGATCGAACCATGCCGACCACCGTCTGGTTCCGCCGCTCCACCACACCATTCTGCTGTGGCGAGTACGGCAGCGGTGTGATGTCGCACCACACTCTGATCCGCGCAGTACGCAGCGAACTTGACCGAAGTGAATTCGCCACCGCGATCAGTCCTCAGCACGCGCAGCTTCTTGCCGCTCTCCGCCTCCACGCGCACCTTGAACTTATTGATCACCTCCGCCACCTCGTCCTTGCTCGTCAGGAGTTGCAGCCACATATAGCGACTGCAATCATCCACGAGCAGGAGGAAGTACCGCCGACCACCATTTGTGGCTGACGTGATTGGCCCGCAGAGATCGCCGTGGACGAGCTCGAGACGTCCGTCGCGTGATACTTGGCCGCCTTTGGGAACGACAGCCTCCTCTGCTTCCCGGCCAGGCAGCTGTCACACAGCTCGCCTGCGTGCGACGTCACCATCAAGGGAGTGGCCTCATCATCCTCATAAGCCTGCGCTAAATGAGCATCAGCCTTCTTCTCCTGCTTGCGATTTGGGCACTCCTTTGCCCAATGGCCCGTCTTCCCGCAGCGTCAGCAGGCGTTGAGGTCGACCTTCTTCTTCTTCTCTGAAGAAGCCTTGCCGCGGAGCTTGCCATCGCCACCGCGGCTGGAGGAGGCTTCCCCGGACTTCTTCTTCTTCTAGACAACCCACTCCTCTGTCAGCAGCAGCTTGCCGTTGTCCGTCGTTGCTGTGGCCTGCTCCATGTGCTCGTCTACCATCCGCAGACGGCCTATCACATCCTCAATGGTGAGGGTGGATAAGTCCAACATTGTCTCTATGGAGAGAGCGATCTAGATGTACTTCACCGGCACGGAGGTACTTGGAGACCGCCTCTTTTTCGTCGATGGTGACACCGTGGCTCCTCAGCTTGCTGATGAGTGACTGCAGGCGGAGGAAGAAGTCCTCCACCGACTCACCAACCTTGAACTTGAGGGTGGCGTACTTCTGCTTCAGCAGCTGGGTTGTCGTCTTCTTTGCGCGGTCGGAGCCGACGCGCATCGCTGCAATGGCCTCCCACGTCTCCTTAGCAGAGTTCTTCGCCCCCCAACGGCTCCCTGTACTCCGCTGACACAGCAGCGAGGATAGCCTCCGACGCTGACATGTCGTCTTCTTCGTTGTCGGTGCCCTTATCTATGGCATTCCAGAGCCGTCGGGCTCTGAGCTTGACCTTCATGGTCACCGCCCACTCGTCATAGTTGGTGTGAGTCAGCGTCGGCCAACTAGTGTCGCTGACCTCCCGCACCGTGCGCACGACGACCTCCTGTCGTGGTTGGGCAGCCACAGCAGCGCCGCTGCTGTCGCCCATCTCCAAACCGTCCGTCATCGCCAGCGGTTAGTCCGGCGACGGCCCTTATACGGCTCTGATACCAGTTGTTGGC